TTTTAATTTCATTGTACATAAATATCTTCATGTATGGCTGAAGACAGACTAGACAGGGGAATGTATTAGTCAAAGCCTGATCTATGCTTTCCCAATGGAATGCCCAGTGCCCAGAGTTGTGACCTAGTTGTTTCCTGTAGAGATGAAAGCACAGCAGGGGACCAACGGGTAATGCACCTTCCTCAGCTGTCCTAGGGCTTGGCTGCTGCACAGCAAACTAGCATGTAGTACAGACATCAGTGGAGTCTGCCCACACTGTGCGCTACTGAAGTTCTTGGGACGATTCTGATTTCTTTGGCTTAGAAACCAGGACAGGATCTCAGGACAGATGGCTTCATAATGAGTTTTTCTCCCCTTTAGGCTGCCGAGCAATTTGGAGATTGTGGTCGGCCTGGCCCCTGTCGCTGTAGTTCAGGATTCAGCTTGAAGACTAGTCTGACACCAGGAAGGTGTCACCACCAGCAGCTGACGCTGAGCAGGTCTGGCACAGCAAGCATCCTGAGGCTGCAAGGGAGAGGTCTTCAGATAGCAGCTTGCTGACAGGTTTAGATTCAACTACCAGTTTCAGTCTGGCTCATTTTCAGATTATCTGTTGGGCACTCTTGTGTAGCTGTCCTGCAGGCTCCTGAAGTACATGTACACCTGGGGATGCTGGGCACTCTGGTGTGTTTGATTTTTGTCCTGATGCAGAGTATCACGGTGTGACACATGCTGCTCTCACATTCCTATCCCCCCTACTCTGCTTCCTCCATGCTGTATAGCTCTCACGGTGTAGATCAGACTGGCCTCGAACTCACGGAGATGTGCCTGCCTCTGCCTCTGCCTCCAGAGTGCTGGAATTGAAGGTGTGTTCACCACCCCCAGCTCAGTTTGCAATTCTTGATTCTTGGTGCTTACTGTTTTGATGCATGATGCATATTAACATCCCCACCAGCGATTCAAGCCTGGACTCCTTGTTCGTGTGTATGCACATGTGTGTGGAGGTCAGAGGTCAGCCATAGATGCTGTTCCTCAGGGGCCACCCACAGTTTTCTTTTTCTTTCCTTTTCTTTTTTTTTTTCTTTTCTTTTTCTTTTTTTTTTTTTTTTTGAGGCAAATCTCTCTTGCTGGCTTACCAAGTAGGTTAGGGTACCTTGCCAGGCAGCCCCAGGATCTACCTGTCTCTACCATGCCTGGCTTTTGTATGTGTGGGGGAATCTGGGCATCTAACTCAGGTCCTTATGTTTGCAGAGCAAGAACTTTACCAGTGAGCCATCTCCCCACCTCCCACACTAGACTTGACGGCTCTCCCTTCCTCCCTCCCATCATCACGGAGACCTCTGATTCTGCTTTTTAGACATCTCGTTAAGTACCACTGCTGCGGGAGCTCCTTTGGCGGATAGCCTTTCGGGACCACGTGGGACGGGGTGGGACAGAAACCCCTGGCAGCAAACCCCTGGCTTTGAAATACGCTTGGGAGTGACTTCCTGCCTGGGGCTTATCAACCTCGTTCTTCGCTGTCCCAGTCAATTTCCTCTGGGGAGCCTGCGTGCTGTGTGTGACATCAGATCCTGCCATTCTCCTGTGGGAAACCATCCTGTTCTTCCCTCTGGCTGTGGGATGAAACCTAAATTCCTGACATGGCTCATAAATCTGTTGTCTCTCTTTTCAGCGGTTAGTTATCACATCAAACAACATTTGCTGAGGGCCTAGTCTATGATCTGGGTCCTGGAGATCCAGCAGTGACGAGACAGTCCCCATGCCGAGGAAGCCCGTGTACTCGTGGGAGCACACGCACACATGCGCATACATGCATACATTCGCACACACGCATACATGCGTACATGCGCATGCACATACACACACACATACAACACACACAGTACACGTGGAGGAAAAGGGATGGTTCCAGGTGCTGACACACTCGGGAGGTAGAGGTGTGTGAGCATGTGTTCAGGCAGTACTGTCCATGAAGGCCACTGTCATGAACTTTAGCCCGGAGGACTCTGCAGATTCCTGATGCTTACTGCCTGGCCTGTAAGATGCTCAGAGTCAGCCTCTGCTATACATATAGAACCGTAACTTCCTTATTCTAAGTGACTGACAGCTTTCATCTAATATGTAAAATATGTGCACACGCTGTACACAGAAATAAAATCGGTGAAAGTAAAATTAGAGAATCGGGAAGTTCCCAGATTAGAGGCTTGTATGCGGATGTGGATTGCTCTGACCCTTGGGCTCTTCAGTGGGCTAGCTAGTCTACCACAGATCACCAAGTTCTTGCAGATAATGATCAATGCATTGCTGTTTTGTTAGTTTTTTCTCATTTGCTAAGAAAAAGAAATTGAGAATGATTCTGTTTAGAAAATGGTGAGATTAAAACCATCCTCTGAGATGAAAGCCCTTTGAGGAGAAAAGTTGACGTGGCCTTTGTATTTTTATCAGATGAAACAAAAGGTGTGTGGATTAGGCATGAGGATGTTGAGCCATGGTGTTAGTGGCTTGACTTTGCTTTGGGGAAGGAAGGAAGGAAGGAAGGAAGGAAGGAAGGAAGGAAGGAAGGAAGGAAGGAAGGAAGGAAGGAAGGAAGGGTTTGCTTTGCCTCGCAATTTGAGGATACAGCCCAGTGTGGCAGGGAAGTCACAGCAGCAGGTGCGTGAGGCAGTTGGTTACCATGAGTCTACAGCCAGGATCAGTGCTTTTAAAATTAGCATTGTGAGTATGCGTGTATGGGGGACGTGTTGGAATGTGTGTATGAAGTGTGTGTGTGTGTGTGTGTGTGTGTGTGTGTGTGTGTGTGAGAGAGAGAGAGAGAGAGAGAGAGAGAGAGAGACCCAGTGGATACAGGTGGATGGACATGCTGAAGTATGAGTATGTGTACGCAGGGTGTATGTGTAGATCAGAGGATAGCCCTGTGGAGTTGGTTTCCTCATTTTACATAAGATCCGAGGTTGAACTCAGGTCAGTAGGCCTTTGTGGCAGTGCTTTTCCCCGCTGAGACATCTTTCTGGTTTCATTTTCTCTGTTAACATTTGGGATGGTGTTGCCTGTATTCAGGGTGTGTCTTCCCTCATCAGCTAAACCTCTCCAAGATGCCCTCACAGGCATGCCTGATGGTTTGTCTCCTAGTTTATAAATGGAGTCTGTGCATTCATTTTCAGCCACAATAATTACACAGAAACTATATTAATTACAGCACTATTTGGCTGATGGCTCAGGAATATTCCTTCTAGCTCTTACATATTAAATTAACCCAGCCTGTGGCCTTCCGATAAGAATCTGGCATCATTCTCCTTAGGCAGCTACGTGGTATCTGCCTGACTCTGCCTTCTTTTTCCATGCATTCAGTTTAGTTTTCCCTCCTTGCTCTAGTCTGCCCTGCCATCGGCCAAAGCAGCTTCTTTATTAACCAATGGTAATAAAACATATTCATAGCATACAGAGGGGAATCCCACATCACCTAGATGATTATAAATTCAGTCAAATTCACATTAGAAGTCGTCTATCACAAGAATACAGTGTTAGCCGCTTTTTCTTGTTTAATACACTTACCTCTGCAAGGCATGTGACTACTGAGGTATTAAACCAAGTCTTATATCCTTGTAAGAATTAGTAGAACAGTGGAGGAGATGGAGCAGCCACAGGGTCTTCCACCTCCAGGTTCTGTGGAAAGAAGCATTTTGTCCACCTCACCATAGAGCCAAGCAGATCCCACAAATAAGACGGGTTCAGAGAACTCGGAGTTTACACTGGCTGTCTGCTTTTTGAGAAAGCTGTTTTGCTGCACCCTGAGGTATCTGGTTACATGTTCTGAGTGGCCTTTGCTCTGTCAGGGATGACAGACAGTTGTAGGGAGACACTGAGCTGCTCTTCTTAGATCCTCACAGTACTCCATGCTTTGTGGACTATGCCCCTGGGTTTCTGTGAGAAAGGCCAGTTTTCAAAACAGTCTGATACACACAGCCCACAAGAATCACTATTTGTCATCACTCTCTGATATCTGTGTTGTCCGTCCGTCTGTCTGTCCATCCATCTCATCCATCCATCCAATCAGTTGTTTGATTACCAAAGCACATGGAGTCATGGAGTTAACAATCTCTGCCCTGGTGTTTTGCGTTGTATACTAGACCTTTTCTGCTTATCTCCAACTCCTGTCTCTTCAGCTCCTTTAGAACGCACCCCTGTGACCGGCTTCTCGCGGTGTCAGCTTTGTTGGTGTTAGTTTAGCTGCTTCTCTGCTGTATGGAAATTTGCTCACATAGAGACTTCTGAGCTGTTTCGCAATGTTGAGACTAGAATCCAGGTCTGACACATGCTAGATGGTGCCCTGCCTCTGCGCTGCATCTCCAGCCCTTGGATATAAAAGTTCTTGGCGCAAATTGTATCGTGTTTGCTCTCTTTCAAATGCTTCAATGGTTTCAGTGCACCTGTGCTTGCCTGGGTTTGATATTATGCAGCTGACACTCCAGGCCATGACTTAAGGCAGAAATGCATGAGTGATGGGAGACTTTTGGCCTGGAAACCTGTGTGTGTGTGTAGGGGGGGGGTGTAATGAATTCCCATGTGGCCAGGGTCCTTATAGCCTGCATGTCCTTGCTGAGCAATGAAAAAGAGATGCTCCCATCACAGTTACCTGTGCAGCATGGACAGACCTATCGATTGTGCTGTGGAATGAACTCACCTGAGAGGCGGCTTCGCAAGCAAGGAAACGTAAAGAGTATTTTTATGGCAGCCGTTTGGATTTCTAATTCTCTAGACTTTACATGCTTATTATGAAAATCAAGTTCAGCACTTCCAAGGGGGCAAGAAAGTACTGTATCCTGTGGTATAAACTTACAGAATTATAACAAAAATCTTAACTCGTATAGTTTGTTTCTTGGGTAGAGTTCCATCATCTTCTCCTGGTTATGTAATTTCACTTTGGCCTTTCACAAGCAGCGGCCGTCACCCTTGACACAGGCTGGAGTTTGGAACTGCCTGTGAAAACATAAGTGACTTCTTCTTCCTATTTGAAAAGTCCCTAAACACAAATTAGGAACTCCCAAAGAACTTCATGGCGGTCTGCAAGCCAGTCTTCCAGCTGCCAAGACCTATGTTATAGTGTTGGAATTGCCAGAAAAAACACAACTGTTGTCCCAAGGAATCTGCACATCATCTTTGAGACCGGAGGACCGCGGAAATGGACTGAAGGTTAGAGGGGGAGTGGGGAGGCCATGCATGCCCGTGATGCTGGAGCCAGACGACAGCCTTGGAAGGCCTTCACTAGGCACCTTATTTCTGAGATGGTCTAATGTCTGGGAAATCAGCAGGTAGACAGTCTAGGTCAGCTGGCCAGTGCTCTCCCTGGACCGATCTGACTCTGCCTCTCAGTGCTGGAGTTATAGCATGTGCCACCATGCTTGGCTTTTTAAATGCAGGTTCTAGATTGAATTCATGCCCGCATTCTTGCAAGGCTGGCTCTTTACTCACTGAACAGCCTTCGAAGCCAGATGTCTGTCTTTTTCTGCTTGTTTGTTTTGGTTTGTTTTTTGAGACAGGGTTTCTCTGTGTAGCTTTGGAGCCTGTCCTGACACTAGCTCTGTAACCCAGGCTGGCCTCGCCTCGAATTCACAGAGATCTGCCTGTCTATGCCTCCTGAGTGCTGGGATTAAAGGTGTGCGCCACCACTGCCCAGCCCAGACGTCTGTATTAGAGAACATTATTCTGTGTAGCAGGGCTCATATCCAAATAAAATAATTCTAAACAGAAACATTACTGCATAGGTTTTAAATGACTGCTCACTTTGACAGGATTCTCCCCACCAAAACAAAGTTCCAGGGCATACCAGCCCAAAGGTTTTTCTTGAGCTTAATCGTCTTCTAGAAAAATGTTCCTACTTCTTATTTTAGTTATTATGTGAAAGTCTGGTGTCTGGTTGTCGGTTTCATGGAGACATCAGTGAAAAGGGTTCATGGGGTCAGCAACTGTGACAAACACAGTATGTCATTTCCACAAGCTAAATTCTTGGCACAGTCTGAGCTTGGGCAGCATGTGCTGGCCTTGCTGCCTAGCTGTATTGGTTAGCTTTCGTTTCTAACCTGACAGTGCGGTCGAATAAAATGACTCCCATTTTAATTGGGCGTTTGTGATGATCTGAGATACTCCAAGTTTCATAAACTGCAAGATAACACATTTCTGTGCACATGGAAAGTATCTTTAGATTTTCTCAGTGTGTTGAATTCCTGAGGAATGTGTTCACATGTCTGATAGCATCATGGCATCCTGAGTCAGAATTTGTGGGGCTGACTGCAGCGCAGCTAACAGATGCTTCAGGCTGCGTGTAATTTCCTATCCCGAGTCTAACTTCAGCCCATGACTGGTACAGACCTCTTATATTAGTGTGTGTGTGTGTGTGTGTGTGCGCGCGCGTGCGCGTGTGTGTGCGCATGTGTTCATGTGCCCACACAGACATGTGGAAGCAAGAGTACAACAACTTCCGATGCCGTTCCTCGTTTCTTTTTTTCAGTGTCTTTCACTGGTCTGGAATTCACTAAGTGGGCCAGACTAGCTGGGGCCACAGAGATCTTCCTGACTCAATTTCCTTGGAGCTGGCGAACAAGTATGCATCTCCATGCCCTGATTTCCTAGGTGCTGGGGATATAACTCAGGATCTCACACTGGGCTTGTCAGTCTCCTTAGCCTGTAGGATATTCTTGGGGGAAACAAGACATACACCACCTAATTTGTCATTCACATTCTTAATCAGCTTTTACCGTATCTTTTTTACATCATCTTCTTGCGTGTGATGTTTTTACTAATCCTCTCAACAATTTCTCTTTTTTTACATGAAAAATAAATAACACACTAAGGTCACAAAGTGAAGAATCATATTATGTGAGTTTGTGTTTTCTGGAACTATCTTGCTTGGTCCCAGGGAATCTTTGTGAAACCTGAAGACAACCTAGTCACAGTTGTGGCTCACATCACAGTGGAAGCCATGGGACCAGCAATTTGACAGGACTCAGGGAAGTCCCTTATGGATTTGTACTTTTCTCTCTGGGATACAAGGTTATAGTGTCAACAGCACCCAAGTGATCTTTCCATTTCAGAAATTGAAAGCAACTTTCAGTCGATAGTGGCAACCAATATCAAAAGTCTGTTTTCCCAAGTCTCCTGATTTAGATTTTGTGATCTCCTCCCCCCCGTCACTACCAGCTCCTTTATCGACTATAATGAACGGCTTCTCTTAGGACCTGTTTCTGTCTAGGCGCAAGTGACTTTGTGTTTTTGTTCTGGCATTTGCAACTGTGATTTTAATTGGATTTGTGCCACTGTGATTTAAACCTCAGCATAGCTTAATGAAAATCATAAAACTGTTTAAGTAGAAAGAGACCTAAGAGACAGGCTCGTCCCGGAGTCTCACACTCTCGCTCCCAAGCTGAAGCTGGCCCCAAGTGGACTTCTCTCCACAGGGAAGACCCACGCTGGACTCTTACCAAGTTTTTGAATTGGTTGTTATTTTCAAAATGCATTTCAAATAAAAGATTGTTATGTTGGGATTCCTGTAAAAATGCTGATGTACTCGATTGTAGGATGCTTGTCTAGAGCATGCATGAAATCCTAGGTCCAACCCCTAACACCAACCACATAAAACGTGGTTCATGCCTGTAATCCAGGCGCCGGGGAGGCAGCAGGATCAGAAAGGCAAGATTACTTTTGACTTCATAGCAACTTAGAGGCCCACTTGGGCTGCATAAAACTGCCTCAAAAATTATCATATATAAATGCATGATTGATAAAAACTCAGGGTCAGAAATTGGGGTTCAACCTGAAGATCTGAAAAGTAAAATAGTCAGCCCCTGGCTCTAACCTTGGCCTCAGTCTGAAATGGTGATCCTGCCTTCTGGAATCTCAGAAGGAGAGCACATGAGAGCCATCTCACCCTGTCTTATATTCCTCTCGAGGACTGGGATTAAAGGCGGGCACCACCCGATTTCTATGGCAGCTAGTGTGGCTCCTAGAATTGAAGGTGCGTGTTACCATAACCTGATCTGTAAGGCTGACCAGTGGAACTGTTTTATTCTCAGATCTTCCAGCAATCTTTATTTATTAAAATACAATTGAAATGCCACTACACATAAATAACAGTAATGATATTCAGTGTTTGATGAAAATTAAAAACTTTGGAAGACTGGGCAGCACTAGGCTGGTTTCTGACTTCCTGCACTCAATATGTTTGCTAGCCTGTGGAGTCCAGTTGCTTCCTGGAGCTAGGGCTGAGCTCCACAGGGCGCTGTGACCTGTGCCCCTTCACTGGCAGTGCATGACTCGTGGTCTACTGATGCCTCCTGTCTTTGCGCCTGTGTTACAGTTTCTTAGAGCAGAACGATGAGGGATGAACAGTGTTTCTGACTGCCAGAAATGGGAAAGTGGGGTCTAATCCAAAAGGGCTTTGTGCTCTCTACATCTAAAAGTATCTTAGTGTTATGAACTGGTTTAATAAAAGAATACATTAGTGTGTGATATTAGCAAAATGTATAAGGTCAAAATACAAATACCAGATAATCAACATCTTTGTAGAGTTCCCTACATCTTTACTCTTAGATTTTTTTTATTAGTTTGTGTGTGTATGTGTACATGGTATATGCGTGTGTACATGGTATATGCATGTGTATGTGTACATGGTGTGTACATGTGTGAAGGTGCATGTGGAGGCCCTAAGTTGATGTCAGGTGTCCACCTTGATTGTTCTTCACTTTCTTTATTGAGACAGTTTCTTCACTAGGAGCTTGCCGATCCCAGCTAGTCTACCTAGCCAATTTGCCCCAGGGTCCCCTGTCCCTGCATCCATTATGGGCATTGTAGGCAGCTGCCATTCCTGCCTGCTTTTTTGATTTTTGCCCAAACTACTGCTGAATTATGGATCTCAATGTGTTTAGCTTGAAAAAATGTTAAGTAAAGTTTTGTATTGTCTTCGTCTCTCTGTCTCTGTCTCTGCCTCTCTCTCTCTCAGACACACACACACACACACACACACACACACACAGACAAGCTCAGAAAAATAGTAGCCAACAATATTTACTTTTTATCATTTAGGGTTTTGAACATCCTTCTTTCTTTTATTATATATATGATATCTAGCTATCTCTTAGATTAAATGAAATGTTTAAAGATAACCAAACATTAACAAAGGATAAATGTAAAGAAACAAAGATATTGGGGTGGCGTATTTAGTCCAGTGGTGCAGTATTTACCCAGAATGTCCTAGGTCCCTGGGTTCACTTCACAGCACTTCAAATAACTAATATACAAGAGATAAGAAAGAGAAGTCTGTTGTCCCATCCTGTTCTTTTGTGTAAGTGGCAGGGCACATGTCACATGTGTGTATGAGTGTGCAGGCCAAAAGATGGTGTCATGTGCCGGTCCTCTGCATCCTTCTCACACTGGGGTGATTCGGGTAGGCTGGTCGGGGAGCTGAGCGGTCTGCCTGTCTGCATCTCCCAGCACAGGAAGCCACCCACAGTGCCACTCGATGTTTCCAAGCCCTGGACACAGTTGTCCTGCAGGCCTTGAAGAGAGTCTGACAAAGGCTGCATAGAGATTTTATGGTTTTGCATGAGTATTCATGGAAATTGATTGGCTCCTGTGGCTGTCATTTCACTTGGGGGACAAGATGCTGAAATAACTTCATGTGTTCACATGCTCAACTCCTGCTCGTGGCCAGGAAGTTGTTCCTCGTGTTGTCTTAGGCTGTGTGTGTGAACATTCTCACCTGTTTCCTCTGTCCCGTCAGGCTAGTATGAAGGTGGGTGGCCACCACCCTTACTAGTAAAGAGTCTCACTAAAGGCAGGTCTTGTAGTTGTGATGGAAACTCCAGCACCCAGGAAACGGAAGGAGGAGAATTTCTGTGAATTCCAGGCCAGCCTGGGCTACACAGTGATACCCTGTCTCTAACAAAGAGAAAAGACTCTCACGCTGATCCCCCTTTTTAAAGTCTAATGACTTTGCATTTTTCAAAGATGTTTCAGAGACGAGGCTTGCATAAAGTCATAGCGATGCCCTTGGGGGTGCAGAAGACCTGGAGCCCAGCAGTGTCACACCACAGACCTTCGGGAGACCCCTGGCCCTGTTGTCTGTTCTTAGAAGAGGCTCACTCCTGCCTGCCTACCACAGACAGAACCCAAGGCCCCAACAACCCAAAATGCCAGATCTTCTCTAAATCCTTTTCATCTGCACTTTTACAGGGTTACTGGTCACAAGAGTGGGACCTGGGTCCTATCTCTGGCCCAGGGTGGAGTCATGACATTCTGAGCTGCTGGAAAACCAGCTGTGTGATTGCTGATGACGTTCTGAGCTGCTGAGAAGCCAGCAGACACTTCCTGGTAAAGACTGAAAACATTGCAGTCTCTTTCTTTCACGTTTCATCCCATGGGCCTGCCAATCTCTGGGGTAGGAAGGCACTCTTCAGGAGGGCCACGTTCTAGAGAAGTGCCGTGAAGCCTGCCTGCAGATAGAGCTGGGTACAGCTGTGTCTCCTTTCACTGCCCACCAGCCCTCCAGAGCTGCTTGTAGGGTCCCTGTGACCACTGTCCATCTAGCCCTGCTGGAGTGCTTTCCCTGCAGCAATCCCTGTGGCCTTTGACTCCTCTCCTCGAGAGGCAGCCTACTTTACCCTGTAATGAACCCTGCCCGCTCACACACCTTGCTGCATGCCCCTTTTGAATTCATTTGATGGAGACCTCAGGGTGAGGAGCTGAGGGACGTCAGCGCTGGATTTCAGTGGCAGCAGCAGGGAGAGCCTCCTGCTTGTGTCGCCAAAGATGAGGAAGCAGAGCAGACAGGAAGTGGGCTTGGCTGTAAAATCTTACAGTCTGTCTTTTTCTAGCTAGACTTTACCTCCTGAAGTTTCCGCAGCCTCCCCAAACACCACTGCCATATGTTCTAACACACGAGCCTGTGAGAACATTGCACATTTAACCATGTCCGGAATTAGTGTGGCCATCTTGAAGGAAGCAGGGTAAGTCAGAGAGGAATGAACCCATGCCGGTCCCCAGGGGCCATGTTGAGCCCGCACAGATCGTGCAAACCTGGCTAGTTCTGTCAGCTTGACACAGAGAAAACGCCCCTAACATCTGGCTGTAGGCAGGCCTGTAGAGCAATTTCTTTATTAGTGATTGATATGGGAGGACCCAGCCCATTGTGGCCTGTCCCAGCCTGGTGTCCTGAGTGCTATAAAAAAGCAGACTGAGTAAGTCTAAGTCATAAGGAGCAAGCCAGTAAGCAGTTGCCCCTATGGCCTCTGCATCAGCTCCTGCCTCCACGTGCTGCCCTGCTTGAGCTCCTCCCTGACTCCTCTGGTGAGGAACAATGGTGTGGAAGTGTAATCAGAATAAACCCTCCCTCCCCAGTGCTTTGGTCACGATGCTTCACCACAGTGATGGTAACCCAAACAAGACATCAGGGCTTTAGGCCAGCCCTTCTTGAAGCAGATAAACGGAGCCATTAAATCCTTCTGAGCCATCCATGGATGGAAACATGAGCTGTGATAGCCGAGGGTCACCCCGGGAAGTATCGCAACCCGCTGCCATCCTGGGAGCTGGGGTTGACTTTGCGGTTTTTAAAAGAGGCCTGGCAGCGCCCCGTCTCCATTACTCCTGCGCTCAGGGTGAGTGGAGTGATCCACAAGTGCCATTCTACCCAGTGCTCATGCATCGTCAGCCATAAGGATCACATTTGCTGCTACTGTCTGCTAGATCGGTATCTATGGAACACTCGATATCAGAAGAAACCAGTGGAGTCTGCTGGGAAAGTGCAGAGATAAATAAGGAAGGACCACGCCCACACTGACATAGGATCCTGGAAGGACTTCTGCTAGTTGACAAAGACAGAGGGGTCACTTAGCGCCTGATCTCAGCGGGACTGTCTTGGAGTTTTGAATGCTGTGGTTGAAGCTATGCCGTGAACAATACTAAGGGAGATTTTCTATAAAGAAAGTCATTTATGGAGTAGCTCCTGGGCAGTCCTGTTTCTTCTAGTTGTCTTAGCAGGTCACCTGGGGGGAAGACCATGAACCAGAAGAAGAAGATGATGTACAGAGGACAAAACAGAGTTTGGATCTAGATTGGTAAGATGAGGTTCTAAGTGTGAGAATCCCATGATACGTGTCCTTGGTTGGACTCTGCAGTCTCTCTACACCTTCAGTTCCTAACTGCAGAATGCAGACAGAGTTCCCACGTTATGGGGCTGTAGGAACAAAGTGGTGATATAAGCCATGTTGAGGCTCCTTATAAGACTTATGGAGATGTTCACTGAATCTTGTCGTTGTTATTGACATCACTGTTAGGATGTGTGGTATAGATGTTTCCTTTCAACATAGCATGACCACCCTATCACCATCACGGGACAGAGATATCCTTGGCCCCATCGTCATGGCAACAAAATAAAAACAGTACAGGACTTAGGGCAATGGGTCTCAGTAACTGTGTTTCTCAGTAGAACTGGGAAGGCAGAGTCACTTGACCAGTCACTCTCTCCTCCCCAGTTGCATGTGAGGAATGAGGAAGTAGAAGGTTGTGTAAGGGGGTTGTTGTCATGGTGGGCTTTGGTAATACTCTTTCCACATCACTGGTGCTCCCATAAGAACTCTACAAATGGCCCCAACTCACTGGACCCTAACCTAGCATGGCATAGCATGGCATGTTACATAGCATGGCATGCTACTTCCGTCTGCTGGAGACAGGGTTCCTATCTGGGTAACCCTTTGCTCATGTCTCCCCATGAAAAGCATGGCAACTCTTCACTCCTAGTCTTAGGATTGCCTCTGGTTGTCTAGGTGATCATAGGGCTTAAAATACAGCATGGTATTTAAACTCTGCTCTTAAAGTTCTAATTATGGAACTGTATCTTCCTCTTGAGAGCGTCAGAGGGAGCAGGACCTTAAATGGTCAGATGGAAGTCACCTCTGGAAGGTGCCACCCTTTGATTTGTAAATCCAGACTTCTTCCTGGAGAGCATTTGTTCCTTCAAAGGTGGAAAGATCCCCCAGAACAGTCCATTTCATGCCTAGTATCTGATGAAAAGTCATACCAGGTATTTCTGCTTAGACAGATTCTTTGCCTCACTATTGCTGTTCCCCAAGACCCTACAGGCCACAAACCATGGCATCACAATTGCCTAACATGTCATAACTCTTGGGACAGGGAGATAGCTCAGTTGGTATGTGCCTTGTAATCATGAGGACCCGTGGGTAATCATGAGGGTCCTGCTAGCTTACTTGGTGAGCTCTAGTCCAGTGAGAAAGTTGGCAGCACCTGAGGATGATACCACAGGTCCTTTGGCCTTCATACACATGCACCACACACACATGACCACGCACATACGCACCACAGACATACACACATGAACACACATGCATGAACCACACAATTTACCCCACACATGCACCACACATGCACCACTCACACATATGAACACACACAATATACCATACACACAAACACACACACGCATGCAACACATGCATATGTACTGCATAACGCACCATACCTGTACCACATACATGAAAACATACATGCATCACACACATGTGAACACACACATGCACCACACATGTATACACCATACACACACGAACATATTCACATGTACCACACAATGCACATGAACACACACATGTACCACACAATGCACATGAACACGCACACACATGTACCACACAATGCACCACACATGCACCATACACACACGAAAACATACACAAATATTAAATGAAATTGAAAATTCCGTTTCTGGCTTGTGCATAGCCACCTTTCAAGTGCTGATAACCCAGGGGCTGCTGGCCACTGTGATGGGCAGCGTAGATGTGGATTGTTTTGGTTGTCATTGAAAGTCTCTGGAATAGTTCTGCTGAACAGTCATACTCAGTAGGTTTCCCTAGTGATTCCAGCCCTGCCTGTCTGATGGGGAGCAACAGTTTGACCTCCCTGTCTTGCTTTATTCATCTGGAAGATGAGGCTCTGGCTATTGGTGCCTTGTTCTTGCCTGTGTCCACAGTACCTACTGTGTGCTGTAAGCACTGCTAGCTCTTAGTAAGTCCTTTATAGTTCAACAGAGTTGAGCTCACACAGTGCGTAAGGACTGGTGCTGCTGGCACTTTAGTGGGGAGGGTGGCTTTGGGATTTTGCCAATGTTTTCAGAGACATATAATTAGGTTTAAGGACTATCGAATAAAGAATTTAAAAGAAAGAATATATGGGAAGAGCCAACAATAGATAATCACTTTCATGTTGTGATAAAGAGGGGTGGGAAAAGAGGAAGCCACGTGAGTAGATCCTGGGCATGAGGTCACTCAGACACATCTCCCCTCTTTCAACACTTTGTCACAGGCGAATCCCGAAGCCCTGAGTGTAATTGTCTTGGCTGGAATGCCTGTGCTGGAGGAAACAAATCTGAGCGTGTCAACAAATTAATTAAACAGAGTAGGCAGCGGTGCACGGGCAGAGCTGTGGTGTGTGATGGGGTAACGTGACTGTGCAGTTGTGTTGGGAAGGAGAGGGAGGTACCAAAAATACTGCACAGTTCTGGGGACCAGAAAACAGGCTTGGGGAGCTGATGTGACAAGGGAAACCAGAAATGAGATTAGGGAAATGGAACTGCGTTATTCAGGAAAACATACATGTGAATCCACCCCTGGAGCTCAAATGTAAATTTCAAAGCAAAGATAGCAGCCGTCATTTCAGAGGAGCTGGGATCAGGAGGGGTGGAGATGTCTTTCAAAGGGCTCAGGTCTGTGCCTCCAGAGAAGAGTGGCTGGTACAGTGCAGCAGACGGACGGGGATGTCAAAGCTGGAAGGAGCAGATGGCCAAGGCGTAGCTTTCTTGGGTGCCGACTCTGGGTGCACATTATGTTTCACTCTAAGTTAGCAAATATTAAGACATTAAAGTGCACTAAGCATGCTTGCCATATTGTTATCACAGAGTTAAAGGGAATTAGACTGGGTGGATTGTGTATCAGCAGTGCTGAGGTGGCGAGAGTAAGGTTAGCTGGCTTCCTGTCTCCTGGATCTCAGACTTGGCCAGTGATACCCGAAGTGGCCACCTACTTCCAGAAAGGCAATGAAGAAAACTACATTTTGGGTGATACTTAGGTTAAAGGTGACATTGACTTTTAGTAGGGTTTGTACATGGAAACTGTTCTATTAGATTTAGGTGTGTCACTTACCCCAAGCCATTATCAGTGGGCTCATGATGATCAGCAGACCATTGATTTTGCCAGTGCATCCTTAAGATGCCTTTCTTTATATTTACTTTCAGGGTTGGAGCTTCCTGTGTGGGCTGACTAAGGCCACATGGTGAGCTTAAGGTCTTCATTGGGTGACAAACCTATTGACCAAGGATTAGCTCGAGGTCAGAGTTGGTGACCTCCCAGAACAGCCATATTAGGACTGTGTAGCCAGAGAGTGACTGATTACCTGGAGCACTGGCCACAACCTTTGCTCCTGATCGCCAAGTTCAGGATTGCCGGGTTCTCTTCATGGTGTTCTAAGTCCATAGCATCACAGCCCAGAAAACAGAAGAAACTTCTTCCTCTCTACTACTTCCACCTGAATCCAAACCATAGTTGTTCTGGTTGTGCGGGCTGCCAATCCTGGCTACTGTGGAGGCTGAGGCAGGAGGATCATTATAATCTCCAGGCCAGCTTGCGCAACTTGGTGGTTTGTTTTCAAAAAAAAAAAAAAAAAAAAAAAAGGAAAGGGCTAGCAGGGCTAGGATGCATAACATCCATGTACAGGAGAAAACACGCTTGTACTTTGTTTATTTGTTCTGAAACTGTATTTCTGAATCTCTGTTACTTCTGCTAGATGCTGATCTAGGAAGTAGGGATGAAGTGGACTCCTAATTTAGTTGATAAACAAAACAGTTCTTCACAACTGGCATATTAGCCCTGACTCCTTTAGACATGATTTAAAATGCAGTGGAAAAAGCATCCCATTCTCATACCCACAGGGTGTCAACTGGATGCGCAAAGAAATAGCCAAAATGTGTGCCAACTGCCGCCCTGCTCCAAGGTATGTTTTAGGAAATAACACGCACAAAAGGAGGTGGCTCTAGACCTTTTGTTCTCCAGCTGTGGAGTCATTAGAAGAGAACATTAAGGTCTCCAACCAAAGAGAAAGAAACAACACTGGTATCTAAATATACAGCTATATGTAAATTGATTTAATATGTTTTGTTATGTGTTTAATCTATGTAAAAACAGTAGAAATCTGCATATACATTTAAAAAAATAGGTCAAGGCAACCATCTTTGTAGCTATGTGTTTTCTGTTATAGCCATAGTGTTCCATTGTTACGACAGAGTACATGAAATAGTCTACTTAGGGGAAAGATTTATTTGGGCTCACAGTTTTGGAATTATGTGTTCTGTGATGGGATGGAGCATGTGGAGGACAGTGCATTGTGGAGCAAAGCTTCTCACCCCCTGGAAGCTGAGAAGCACAGAGAAAGAGACGCCAGGCTGGCTGCTTGGTACTCCCTTCCAGGCGTGTCCTCAGTGACCAAACAGCCTTCTGGTGAGCTCTTTCCCTCCCAGGTTCCACCAGCTCCCAGTGGAAGCCTTGTCTCTAGCATGTGGACCTTAGGGGGATACCAGGAGTTAGAGGAGGTATGCAAGCGTGCGTTCGTGCGTGCGTGCGTGCGTGTGTGTGCTAGATACAGACAGTGGTCAGTGGCGAGCGGAAGGACCATGAGAAGTGAAGCACAGAATTCCTGAGTGTTTTCATAATTATTGATTAGGTATATATGGTTCAGTATTCATGATCAGGAGTGATGACAACCAAAGGGAGAATCTGGAGCAAGATGACTAGGAGACAGACACAGGAAACTGGCTTCGAGTGTGTTAATTGTGAGTCCTGCAGATCATTTGATATATAAAATATGTTTTCTTCATAAGGTATTGGTATATATGCGCACACGCATACATTATGTACCAATAGTAAGTAGAAATATCT